GTTTGCGAAGTTCAAAATTAAAAGGAGGCATCTCATATCAGGCCCTGACTGTGGTTTGAGATTGGGTGTCAAATGCCAAAAACTGTGGGAGAGGTTTTGGACCAAAAGAAAGCGGGAAACACCAGAAACTTCACAAGAAATCCTGCCCTGTGTGTCCCATTTTGTGGTCTCATGAGAGTCTGAGAAAACCAGTGGACCATAAGCTGGATTCCTTTTGCCAGGGGAAGCAGTGCAAACACCTCTTCTTTTTGTTCGGTGGCAGGGGTGAGCTGCACACAAATGTCTTGCTAATTAAGGTGCTGTAGGAAATGGGAACTCAGCCAGGCGTACAAAGAGCAGGGAGAAGCCCCAAAATGATCCAAGTTAATATTAGCACAAGTTACACCAACCTCATCGTGAGGAACCATAAGGGGAACTAGAGGGACTAAGCAAGATCATGAAAAATGATCAAATTTTGTGTGGGTGCATACACACAAACGCATGAATACTTTGACAAAAGCTAGTGGTGGATTGTTGAGAGGCCAGTGCAGCTAAGTTCTTGCTTTGTTACATAGATAAATTGCCAAAGGAAACATTATCCAAACAGTTCCACTTCAAAGGCAAAATGACAAGCTTTGGGGAACTTGTGGTACTTTCAGTCTGGCCAATGACCAAGTGTAAAGTGTAAAATATACATGTTTAGGAAGTAGGACACATGCCGTTCAAGACAGGCCTTTCCCATGCTCTCAGACCAGTGCAGCTTCATTTGATGTGCAAATGCATGATGTGTGATCTGTCCTGGCAATGTGCTGCCTGCCAGCAGCACAAACATTTCACAAGCACCCTTTTGGGTTACTTCAGCCTGCTGTGTGCACAGCCTCCTTGGCAACCTCTGCAGCTGGAGCTTTTCTTACAATCTATTGCTGTTGTGGTTGCACAATCCAGGTTTATTTAGCAGGTCTCATCAAGAGATTCCAGGCAGATAAAAATGCCTCAAAACCAGCCTGGAATTGCAGGATTTGGTGTTAGATACTAGGATTAAATGACAATACAAGTAATGATTACACTAATGCACTGGGGAACATATAGGTAATGCAGACTTCATTGATCCTTAAGGCAAATGTCCCAGCAGATGCCCCAGCTTTCCTGGGCATTGGAAGCTTTGGAGCATTACAGCTGATGGCAAGGGCCTTCCGTAATGCATTCATAAACGTCACCTGCAGTCGGGCGAAATAATGTTCCCTGGTGTTACTGCTGGCACTGCAGGCACACCCAAAAGCGAATGTGCTGTGCATCGTACAGGACAGCCTCTGCTGATTGATGGAACTCATCCTATAAACTTATGAAATGTAACAGTGCAAATGCTCACCATAGAAAAGCAGTGGGTGTGATCCATTTTTTTCAGTAGTGGTTTGAGTGGATTTAAATTTGTTGATACTGGAAAACAATAGTTTTGGTCACTGCAGTGCAACTGGGCACTAAAGTACCTGTGCTGGGGCGATGAGGCTGGGTTTTAGTGAGGGTACAGCATTTAAACTCAGCTGGCATGTAGATGTGCTTTTTCTCCCTCTCTAACAGTAAGGGGACTGGGGCATTATGCCACAGCTCTGGGCACTTACTACAGTTGTACCAAGATGCAAGTCACCCTTGTGCCTCTACTCGCTGTCGCTGGCACAGATTATGTCCTATGTGTGTGTGCAGCCTCTAGGCCTCAGTCTCAGAGAGCAAAGCACTTGGTGCTGAGCGCTGCGCCAGTGTAGCAGCTGTGGCTACACAGACTACTTAACCTGCTCTTCACCACTGAAATGACTGCACTTGCAGTGCAGCCAGCTGTAATAATCTGTTGCTTGTGTTAACCTTGAATTCCAGCATGTCAGTTCTGGTCCTTTGAGAAAAATTAGGCAAGGGCTCATTGAAACCAGCATCCCAGCACTCCATGGTTTGCGGTGTGGAAGAGGAAAGTGGGACCCCAAGCCCTAGACGTAGGATATTTTAGGCGCACTTCAGTCACACGGAATTACATCACTACTCTCACAGCAGCCTCATCTGTCCTTGTACATGACCCAACTTCATGCTAAAGTTCCTCACTTTGCCTCAGAAGTTCCTGCACCTTCTGGCAGAGCCACACAGTTCCTTGATACCTGTGCACTGTCAGTGGACATGGAAGATACAATAACCATGTGTTTAATGAGGATGAGGAAGAAAGATGGTTTTATGCAGCTGTAGTCTGATGTGCTGAGAGCAGTCTATTTGAATGGGTTGGGAATGCCGATGGCATCTAATAGCCACAGAGGCTTTTCCCGTTTCCTGATAGATCCAGCACTGTGAATATCAGTCACTGTGGTATGAAGTTGTTATGAGAAAAATAACTTCCTGTGTTGATGGATTAGCATGTAGTAAATGGAGATGTATGGATGCAAATGCAAGGTGGTTGTAAATGTAGCTCTCTAGAGCTCTCTAGGTGTGACCATGCAGAGAGCTGTAAGTAAACAGTACGGTGCACTGCTTCCCTTTGATTTCCTCTCTAGCTAAACTGACGCCCTGAATTCAGTATTATGGTTTCTCCATTTAACCAGGACAGAACTGAGAAATAAGAGGGCACTGTAACACAGTGCCTCCACATATGCAAGGCATGCTTTTCCATCCTGATGTCAGGAGGAAGAGAAAGAGCATTCTTTGTAACAGGGCACCAATAAATGCATGAATTCAAGTAGTATCAATATCCATTGCTTTGTCTGAAGGCCACAGAAATTAAATTCTTTTTGCCTTTCTTCACATCCTTTTTCCAGAAGAAATGTGCAATTATTTCCAAATTCTTCCTTTACTGTGCATTTATTGCTACATTTAGTTTTGCTGGCTGGAGCTTGATTAAACCTACAGTGTTGATTAAACCTACAGCATTCTTCAGTGACACTGAGGTATAACCATTGCTTGCCATAGAGTGAAGTAACTTGGCCTTATTAACTGAGTCGTTGCTTTATCTAAATTGGCACCATTTCAAAAGAGTAATGTCATTCCTGGCCATGAAAGTAACCCTGGAATAAAGGGATGGCTGGAGGAAGACACATATGGTATCTGGCCACGTGAATTTTACTGGCTGTCTAATAACATTTGGTCTGGCCTTTACCCCTGTTTACCATTCTGAAATTAAAAGATAGGTAGAATATCGCTCCATAATTTAATCATCTCTGTGACTCATCTACTAGAGAAAGTATCATAATTGTTTTAAACATTATCCAAAACTCAAGCTGTGATGCAGCAGTTTGCAAGGGTGCCCCACTGGTTCTCACGATTTCAGACCTTCCCCAATAGTTAAACTTTATGACTGCGAGGGTGAGGATGAACTTTGGCTACGACCTAGATCTGCAATTCATAAGTGTTTTTTATACAGCTGCAATAATATTCTAGAAAATGTAATTGGCCTTTTACTTCATTCACTTTCGCAAATGAAAATAAAGCTACTGTGAGAGCAGATCTTTTGCTAAGAAAATATTTTTTTTTAATATTTTTATAGCTCTGTCAACAATAAAGGAGTCTCACAGTCTAAGGTCTTTCTCTAAACCTTTTTAATGGAAAAAACTTCATAGAAAATATCCTTTTACTTTTTAATAACATATAACTATATACATGATTAAAAACTGTAACAAAAAGCTGCAGGGACTGGAAAAATGTTTGTTGGATCCATGCAGATGGTACATTTAAAAAAGGATTTCACAAATCCATGTACATCAAATGGAGCTGCAGTGACAGGGTTGAAAAAAATGCCAACTCTATATTATTTACCTGAATGTACTGGGAATAAAGCACAGACATACAAAATACACAGAAATAATACAAAGAGTACACGGCGTAAATGCTGTTAGCACAGGAAGTTTCTCTTTTACGTAAATAGGAGAAAGGAAGTAAAATCTCCTTTTTCACATTTTATATTGCAGTTTAAAAGATAACTAACCTTTTATTTGCTGTATTTTGGTTTTCTTCACTCTGACACTACAGTAGAAGCATATGGCATTTGCGCTTAACAACTCAGGAATATTTTGATTTCTCTCCATTTCCATCAATGTACGTTCATGTCTGAATAACATCATGTATACATATTACTTTAAAAACACATACACAGTTTGACATGAGTTAGAAATAGAAAATATTCAGCACTACACAGTGCTGGATACTCTTGTCCTGATCCAGCACTATGTTTAAGGACACACACAACTTTAAATCTACAAGGAATTCCTCAGAGAGTAGAGGAAGTTAAGAACATGCAGAAATGATTTACTGATCAGGTCTGGAGTTTTCAATAGTTCATAGTACAGACTCTGCTACTAGGAATGCTTTTACACTTGAGGCCATAATTCTGTTCTTACATCCCAGATAATGTAGTTCTACAGTGTAGATGATTTACTCTATTTTAGAACAAATTTTCTTAATTCTAAGTTAAAACATAAGATGAAACCTCTTAAAGTCTGGGGGATCAATGAGCTCTGCAGCTGGGAAGAAGAAAGAGATGGTGTTTAGTTAGTTTACAAGTTGGAAGAGATTCTGTAGGCAGCAGCTAATAATGTGACAGGCTTTAAACACCTCACTTGTGAAAGAACTTACTCCTATTTTGTTTGTGGGCCAGAAACCAGACAAGTGAGAAGCTGGTACCTTGTGAGGCTCACCAGCATGGTGAGGATGGCCGGCCATCATTTAGTAAGAAAATTAAGTCAAGCTTATTTCTTGTCAGGTGAGCTTTTGCTAGGCTCTTCCTGCTGTAACAAGTCCTTAGTAATTCCCAGTGTAATCGCAGGCAGTTTAATAGACAAGTAAATGGAGTCTGTGTATGCAGATATTTGTTTAAAAAAAGAAAAAAGATGAAAACAACACTTAACAGCAACAGCAAACTAGACAAGCAGTGAAAGCTGAAATAGTCTGTGAAGCCTTGGGATCTGTTCCTGTTCTCCTTAACAGCCTCCCACCCTGTTGGGCCAGGCTCTTTTGGCAGGCAGGTAAAACCTTTCAAGTTCTCATAAGTGAGGGAGGATTTTTGCTTATAGCAAGACATAAAGTAATCATGAAAATAAGCTTTGAAAATCAAATTGCTCTGGGTCATGAAAGCCAGACCTCACTGATAAGTATTTGGATTTCATCATCTATGTAACTATTTGATTCCCTCCCCAGTTTGACCACTTTATGTGAGCATGCTAATTGGAAAGTTGCCAGTATACCAATTTTTGGCTCATTACCATTCAGGTCTTTTATTTTTCAAGAACAGCAATGATAATTATGTTGTTTATTGCCAGCATTTGGGGTAAAATCTGGCTTGTAAGGCCCTGATTGAAACTAGAATGTTACTACTAGGCAGATGTGTTTGAGAAGGCAACCTGAAACCGGTAAGACTTATCTTGTTTATTTAAAGAAGAGAGAAATGTGTGTGCATGCGTTTGCATTTAACAGTTTTATAGCTAGAACCGTTACTAAATGATGCCCAATAGCAATTTTATCTCTTGTTATGATTTGTTTTATAAAAATGTAACGATTCTCAGGAGAGTTTTTTGAAAACATGCAGAGTTGGTTTGCTTTACATACGCAATTATGTGCCCAGTATATATGTTGCAACTTAATTTCTTAAATATATATTGTGTAACACTTTTTATTCCTGAGTGCTGGTATCCATAAGGAATAGAGAGGGTGGCATCATGTGCTCTTTGCACAATGTGGTCCTTTTGTCATTTTAGGAGTTCTTCTGAGGGATCTTTATTGTCACAGTTTTAACTTCAGAATATTCTCTCAATCCACATTCACCCCTGAAAAACAAATTTAAGCATCAGTTTACACCAGATATTTCTTAGGGAACTCTAAGGTTTAGAGTAGATATTGCATGATTTCCTGGGAGTTATGGCCTACCTGAGATTTTGCTGTGCGTATTGTGAGTAATGGAGAAATGTGTAACAGTCAAGTCATTATTTAAGTTTTAACAGTTTGATCTTTTCTGTCATGTTGTTTCTTGGTTAAATTCTTACCCCACCCCTAAAACACACACAATATTGCTTCTTTATATTACAATCTAAAAAGTGGTGACATGCATATCATGGTACCATGTTTACTCTTTGATACTGTCTTCCCTTTGGATGCCCCTGTGGAGAACTTAATACTAGCTGCACCGTAATGAATATTTCAGTGGAATTCCCCAGAATCTCTTTCTAGTAAGTGTTGCTTTCAGAATGCAGAGGCCACTGTCTAAAACATTTAAACCTCTCTGTATGCCCCTGGTGTTGGCCCACTTTGTATTTACTTCTACCCTGTAAATTTTACACAGTATTGGGGGAGGAACTCCTGTAACCTTCCTTGGAAAGTTAATTCATATGGGCAGAAATACTAGTATTTATCCACCCATTTCATTCCACATGTTTTTAAGTTTTGAAAACCTTCTCATGTGCCTTTTGACTTGGTAAGTCTTGCATGTGATACAGTGTTTATATTTAACTCAGACTGATGATTCAGCTTGCCAGGAAATATGTTAGTAGAGATTTTTTCATGTGAAAGGTTCCCATTGATGTAGACCACTTCCACCTTTCAGTAGAAAGTGGTAGATTTGTCTCCAAAGAATGACCAAAAACTTGAGCTATTTACCAGACTCAGGCGAGCCACAGAGCTATTGCCTTATGGCTCAGTGGGAGCTGTCACCTGGAGCCACATGGAGGCTGGTAACTAATGGTAGTATGTCTCTCTGTGTACAAGTTTCTGCTTGATTGAGTATGGCTGTGGCTTGGCTCCACACACCTGCTGGAGACATTTTTGCAAGTCAATAGATAACCTAGCTAACAGAGTATCCAGTGCCTTTATGGATGTTCCAACTGCCAGTTAGTTTCTTTTCTTAGTCTGGCCAACAAAATTAGATATGATTATTGTCTGTTTCTTCATCCCAAGGCTTCAGGACATTATGCATTTCTTTTCTGACTGAAAGTCTGGAAATGGAGAGCTGTGATGAATTCTAAGGTAAGTGTTTTTTCAAAAGTTAAAAAGTTGCCCTTGCTGAAGAGGAAGATGGGTTATTGCAGACATTCAGAGCAGAAGAGTCATTGTGTAATCAATTAAAGGGCTTGCTTGTCCCCACAGCCTAATACAGGGCAGTAGGTAGCAACAACATCCTGTTCTATGGACACTTTGAGTCTTCTTGGCTTGTAGTTTGGTATTAGAGTAAGAACCAGGGTTGTGTGTGTGAAAAGGAAGGAGGCCATGGGTCGAGTCGGCATGATGCTATCCCTTGGTTGTGGAGGTGTCAGGGAAGGGGACCAAATTGCTCTTCAGAAAGAATTATTACATACTCTCTTCCCTCCCTCATTCCAAGAGATAAAAGATAAGGAAAAGAATCATAGCGCCAAACCGTTCTCCTGCTGGCACTTCTTTTTGGGAATGCAACTATGCACTGCTGTATCTCCGAGCTATCCAGCAATAATAATTCCTATGGCATTAAAGGATAGTTCTGAAGTTGAAGGGCACCTCCTTCCCTTGAAGACAATTGGACAGAGATCAGAATTTTTGGCAACTTTAATGCATGTGCCAATCTGGGCTGAGTCACCTGATTTTTAGTTGCACGGGTTAAATTTTGCACCACTCAGGTAGTGATAAGAAGCTTTAAGGAAATGTAAATGTAGAAAAATCCTTTCAGACTCCTCTAATAATGCAAGAATATTGTAGGTAGCCTTAACTTAAACAGAAATTAGTTCTATAGTGTACGTGAGTTCTGCTTCTTTACTGGTACACACATAGCCTGCTACATTTTGTGGGCGTGTAAAAGGAACATAGCAGATCTCAACTTCCTGCGTTCATTTTTTCCCCTGTGTATGATAAAAATCTGTGAATTTAAATGCAGGAACAAAACAAGTCCTAGGTAATGCAATGCTAGCACATGCAGCACAGTGGCACAATTACAATCTGGCTGTAACATAGTTTGTCAATGACACACATATTTATGGACACTTTCTCTGCTTTTTTTGTTGTTGTTCTTTAGTTGCCTGACTCAACATTATGTAGGCTGTAAAGCGTACCCCTTAAAAATAGGGATCTAAGAAAATGTAACATTTTAATAAAAAAGTAGGCAGATAGTAATGTAGGGGGCAGGAGATGGGTTAGCAGGTGATATCTGATCAAAGAGGTTCTGAAAGGAGTAGAATAATTACTCATAAGAAGGTTTTCAGGCATCTTTGTAAGACAGAGAATATTGCCATTCCAAACATTTATTGTTTATGGTGAATACTTTCAAAGCTGTAGATTGGAATCAAGTGTACAACTACTATAGATTTTTGCATGGGAGATGGAGTGCTCCCTGGTTTCCCCTCCTTTCAAAAACTACAATACCAATATGTGAATATTTCACTTGCACAGTTAACCTCCCTGAAGTCAATGGGGTCACTCTTGGGTGTCAAGTTACTCGTGCTGTATCGAGCTTAGTAGATTCAGAGTATTTTCACAATGATAAGAGTTAGATGAACTGACATATTTATGCCAGTGTGAGATCACCTCATAACTCATGAATGTGGAGAATAGTATGAATGTGTTATTCAAAGTACTCCATAATGAGGGAAAATATTTCAGACTACGTAGAGCTTATTTTATAGATCAAGTTGTATACTTCAGCGTATTTAAAGTTTTAAAGAGTTTGACCTTACTTTAGTTTTATTGCTGAGTCTGCCATTAGCCATAAGCTATTTTGAACGCTTAGGTGAGACCTATCTGGTATATATGCCCCCTGCACAGAAATTAATTGAATCCTTTGTATGCGTAACCAATCTGGGGCTGATGCAATTGCTAAACTTCCTTGTGATTGTAATGACAATTAAAACCGGTAAGGCTTTAAACTGGGTCAATATTTGAGTGTGTAGCTCTGTTTTAGAATATTTGGCACTTCGTTCTAAATGGAGTAAGAAAATACAGAAAGCTTCGTATTGGAAAGTGATTTTTTGAAAGTGATGTAAACATATTTGTCTCTCTCTCCCTAGGCCTGATTTCATTTAACATTGTTTATAAATCTGAGATAGATAATATTTTAATAAAATTCAGATGCACCTGTATTAATAAATATAGGAAAAAGTAAAGAAAGGAAAAAATAGCCAGAGAGGCAAAACACATGGCAAAACATCTCTGAAACAAGTACACCAAACCAGTAAACAAACACAGAGCAGTACCAGAAGGAGAATCTTTCTGCAAAAGTACTGGTTAATATGGCTCAGAAAAACCCTCAGAAGGCACAGGTTACAAATTCAGAAAAATACTAGAAAATTTTCCTTTCAGAATAAGGAGTCCCACTAACTTCTGCTATGTCAAAAAAGAAAAAAGAAAAAGGTCCTACCATGTAAATCAATCGCATTGAGAAAGGACAATGATTATCAGACATCTTACATTGTGCTCTGATCCTCAGATGGGAATATTTCCTGACTGTAATTTGCGTGGAAGGATTCACTAATGTTTGTTAAGTTGTAGAGCTGAAAACAGTTTACAAGACAGCTGTGTAATACTCACATCTCTCTTCCATTGCCAGACATTTTGAATCCTCCAAAAGGACTTTGAGCATTTAAGGCATTGTAGCAATTGATCCTGTAACAGGAAGAGGCATTAAGTCCCACTGTGCTGTCAGAGACCTTTGGACAACTTGGGGAGAGGCTGTGGGGCTTGTGGGGCTTAGTAATAACACTTGTCTCACGTTGAAAAGAAATGAGGGATTATGCCACAAAACCAACATTCTGCTCCATAGTCATAAGGAGAATGGGATTTGGCCAGGACTGGAAGATGCCAGTGCTGGTGCACGGTGCTTGGACACAGCTTCAGTAAACTGCTGCCAAAACGCCGTGCCAGTTCATGACACAGAGCTATTAGGCTTGAATTTGTCCTTTTTCTCCCTGATTTCTTGTGGATCTTCAGTCCACCCAAACTTGATGTACCAGATTGCAAATATTAAACTCTAGAAGTGGCATTACTTATTCCCAAGGACCAGGGAGAAGATGTGGCCCCTTAACATTGTATAAAGTTCCTTAATGTTGTATAAAGCCCATGATTCTTTGTGCCTTTAGCAGAAACCTCACAGGATTTCTCTGCTCTGCAGAGAAGATTGTTTACACTCTGCTTTGTTTGTTTTCAGTAATGCCACTCAGCAGTGTGGCTGCCATACTAATGGCAAGCAAGGCACTTTCCAGTTTTCAACAGCGTTCACCCGCAGTGAGCAGAGTCACACCTCCCTGCAGCTGCTCCATATCTTGGTTAGTGATTCACCACTAGGATGGTCTAGATAAACATTTTTCAGTCAAAGGGCGCAAAACTGAGGTGCCATAATGATAGTGAGTCAAACTCTTTATCTCCAAGAGCAAGAGTGTGATAACTTGTGCCTTACCAGACTGTCCCAGCCTGCATCGCTGAAGAGACTGTCAGGGCCTTGTTTATGTCATTTGTAAAGACAGCAGCTACCAGCCCAAAATCAGAATTGTTGGCTCTCTCTATAACTTCGTCCATGGTTTTAAATCTCAGTATTTCTTGAACAGGCCCAAAAATCTGCAACAAAGATTAATCATTAATTAATGAACCAGCTCACTCAGAGGTGTTTTATCCCTGTTTTATTCTGCTTTTTTAATTGTCTTCTCTCTCCTGTTGTACTCTTTACAGATTCCCACACCAACAGTTAATAGTGATAATAGCTGTCTCTAAAACTGCGTGCATTTCCCAAAGCAGTTGCCTCAGTGGAAGTCATACATTATTCCCTTCTATCTTCTTTGAGATCTGACACTTTATAGCCAATGACAGAAATTGAGCTTCTTTACCCAACTGATGTCAGCGGTTGCTCTGTGGAGAAGGAGTTCTGAAAAGATTTTACTTTTTTTTTGTTTGTTCGGTTTGTAATATAGTGCTAATTTTAACTCTAAAGCTGTTGCCTCAGGAAGTAAACAAGGAAAAAAAATCATATTTAGGACATTATAAAATGATCTTTCCCATGCGTGTGAATACCTCCTCCTTGGCAATGCGCATGTCATCTGTCACATTCGAAAACACTGTAGGTTCGATGAAGAAGCCCTTTCTTCCTAGCCCTTTACCGCCACATTCAAGTTTTGCTCCTTCAGTAATACCGCTTTCAATCAGTTCCAAGATCTTGTTGTACTGTTTTTTGTCAATCTGAAAGAGAGAAGAAGCCATCTGACTTGCAGACTGTGCATCTGACAATCAAGTCAAAATTGTTTTTTTAAGCAAGTCATGCCGTAGCGAGTAGGCTCATGCTTATATTCACTACTCTTTGTGCTGGAGATGCCGAAGATGTACAGATAGCTGCTCCCTGTAACCTAGGGCTCAGTCTTCTTAAGGATGTGTCCCCATATGTACGTGGCTCAACCCACATTCTTGCTAAGCAGTCTGGTTTGTAAGCACAAACAAAGCAGGTCATTATTTTTTGTCCCAGGTTAACTTCCTGAAAATCGTATAAGCCCAGCTGGTTATTTGTGGCAGGCATATTTTCTAAAGACCTTTTCCTAATTCCTCTCATCTTTTGCTCAGAATTCCTGTCTCTCTAGTGATCTACAAGCACAGTTATGGTTGTAGACAATTCTTGAAAGTAAGTGTCCACAGAGACTTTTGAGAGCTTCTCACAGTTTACAGTGGTATCTTGGGGGCTGAAGATCAGAATCTTGCTGTTAAAGCTGGGAAGCAAGTTTACTGCTGCTTATGATGAGATTTTTTATTTAACAAGAAATACCTCTGGGCTGCACAGAGTAGCTCCTCTTCTAGAATTTTAATCTTTAAAGTGTTCATCGTGTCACATACCCTGGACAGTGAGCTCATGTCTGTCCTAGTAGAGTTTGGACGCTTCCAGACACCTCTGGGCTGTAAAACCGAAGCACTGTTCTTTTACCTGTGGACCTTGTTCTGTAGTTGGGTCAAAAGGACTCCCCACAACTCTCCTTTTTGCACGTTCAACGCTTCTTCTAACAAACTCTTCATAGATAGATTCTTCCACATAAATTCGTGAGCCTGCAGTGCAGCATTGACCTTGATTGAAGAAGACTCCTTGGTGAGCTTGTTCCACAGCATAGTCCACTAAAAACCAAATCACAGACATATCTGCTTTTGCACCAGTGTCATGTATATTACATAGTGCTGCATTCCCAAAACTTCAGAGAAGCAGGATTTGGTTAAAAAAAACCCCTCCAACACAACAGTAACCAAATCAAAACATGCTATTGTTGTGTTAGGTCGTAAATGAAGATGATTCGTTTCATTTTGTGTCACAATCCCTGTGAAAATATGGAGGTTTTGAACATGTCCAAAGTTGTATTTTTTTCCCCCCATTTATTCCACTCTAGACACCTGGAGGGATATTAAGAGCATTACAACTGTTTCAGAAACACTAGATTGCAAGGGACCACTTGGGACTTCAGTCGTCATCTACGTAAAGGAGGTTCCATAGGGAATACGTTCCATATGCCATCTGGTGATACAAGCCACAGAATACTGCTTTAGCAGTCTGTAAGAGTACAGTATGACCAATGTTACAGCAACATGTAGTTTATGAACTAAACCTGTTAAGATACCCTAGGAAATGGATTGTGCCCTACGTTATGGAAATCTGGCTGACTGAGGTCAGTAGAGGAGGGGAGAATTCGTCTGTGATCCCAAGTTTGTGCTTGCTTTAATACTGCATGTGTAATACTTACAGCTTGAGAGAATCTGACTTTGATAATGGAAGACCTATCCTTCCCAAAAAGCCACACTATTTTTATGCAAGACAAACATCTTAGCCTGTAGAGGTGACTGGGGAAAGCTTTAAAAATATAGATCACTTATAGAACAATCAAGCCTTCATTTCTATGTTAACTTCCTTGGCAGTACAACTAACACAACCACCATCCTACCGGAAGCGAGGATTCTGTCATATTTAGACATTCAGAGCTCAATTCTCCCATTAGGTGTAATAGCTAATAATGTTGAATTCATCCTTAAACAGCGATGCCCTACAGCACTGTAATAACTCTGTTATCAGCTGTAGCACTTTGGAACATTACCTAAAGTATAATCTTTTGTAGAATAAACACAGCAATAGTGCTTTACTTTCAGCACATCCTATACAACTGCATCTTATTCTGCCCTCAGTGTGGTCTTGAAAGAAATTAAATAGGATGTTCCCTGGACCACATTCAGATTTTCCCAGGCAGTTCCATGGAGATTGAGGACACTAATGGATAGAACTGATTAACTGGTGTTTCTTCTACTGTTAACACAGTTTTTCACCATGAGGCACTCTAACCGTTCGTCACTTTTTTTTGTGCACTAAACTATCAATGGCTTTGTCATGCTCTCTGCTAACTTTTGGCACACAGTGTTCCTCAAAGAGAACGAACAGCTCCTTTCAAAGGGTAAGCAAATTGTCTGCTGTTTTTAAACAATCAGAGCTTTGAAGCCTGAATCTCAGGTCAAGTGCTGGTGCTTGCAATTACGGGAAGACCAGAGAGCTTTGGTACCATTACTGTGAAACAAGACGGTCCTGAAGAAGACGCTGCTCTCCTCTGTGCCCTCTTACTTGCAACTTCTTCCCAGGTTCTCAACCTTATTTGGCAGATACAGCAAGTCACAGATCGACTACAGCTCTGTGTGGTATCCATGAGCATTGTCCTTCCCCTGGGGAAGACTCTTAACACGCACCTGCCCCCAGCATATATCCCTGTACCGGAAGTGTGACCCAGTGTGAGTTAGTAGGGTAGGGGCGTTTGGCCTGTGGTGATTTCTGATGGGAGATGGAGATGAATAACTGGGGTAGAAGTCTGCATCATCTGCATCTGGCTCCAGTTGATGGTAGCCTGTTTAGTGTACCAGGATGACTGTGGCTGTAATTTAGACACCCAACTTGGTAAAACATTTCGATGTAGAAAGGCTGCTGAAAGTTCTCAAGCTTTCCCTGGTCTTTGAGACACTGGTAAGTTTTGAAAACAAATACATGATTGTAAACAACCCTTGTAAACAGCTCTTGTAATTCATGCTATCCAGAATTATTCTTCTATTCACTTTACCCTTTTAAATCAAAAGAGCAGATCCTTATATGTGTATCTGTTTGGGTTACAAAGTTCTCAGAAATCCATTTCATATGGTGTGCCTGCACTCAGCCTGAAACAATAGCTCAAAGCAAGGTGTGAACTGTCCCATTGATCTTAATGGGGTGTTAACGTCAAAACCTCCTGCTGACGATTTAGGTATCAACATTTTTAACTATTTCATTGCTGATCAGTTAAGCAGAAACTTCCAGTTAGTGTTTTTATCCTATCCTAAACAGCTGTTCCGTACCTTCTTAGGTGCCAAAAATCTCACCTGCACAACATCATCCAGCTGCCAAAATCTTCAGTTCCTTGCTGACAGTGACAGTGAGGATATTTCAATACACAATTCTTCAATTGTGAAAAATGAAAAACTGGAATAATCTCTATTTGTAGCTGCTATCAAAACAGCTTAACAGAAATACTACACTGACTAGATGATCAATTCAAGTGTAAATTAAAGCCCTCCCTTTTCATAGTTGCTGTGAAGCAAAAAAACAACCCCAAACCACCCACAGAATTTCCAGATCATCAAAAGCACTAAAAACACCTTGTTGCAGAGTTTAGGATGACAAATGTGTATGGAACTATGACTGTGAAAAACACCATTTCTGTATGCTTGGTTATAACTTTTTTCTGTTTTCTTGTTGTCTGTGGATCTGTGGATTCAAGAGTTGTCTTTTTATAGAAAATAAAACACCTTAGCCTGCTTCTGCAAGATTACAAAGTGCAATTAGATACAGATATATTGGTCCATTTCACTTTATATGAAAGATATGCCCTAAAATGGAAAAAAAAAAAAAGAAAGGTACTACACAAACATGTTTTTGAGAGAAATATGGAAGTGCTGACTTACAATCAGCATCTGCAAAAATAATGTTTGGGCTTTTCCCACCCAGCTCCAGTGTAACTCTCTTCAAATTACTCCTTCCAGCTGCTTCTTGGATCAGTTTCCCAACCTGAAAGGAAATGGAGACACATTTTACAGGGAACGTAGTCATACACTTCAACAGCCAATGTTGGCTATCACTGGAACAGAGCTTTAAATAATCCAGCAGCTTCTTCAGTCCAAACAGATTCTCAGCAGCAGCAGTGAGCAGCTTTCCAGGTCTTTTTCTAGAAACTGAGAGAGAATAAGGCACAGCGGAGTGTCCATACCCTTCACCCATTTGTATCCATGCTAAAACTGCTTGGGCCTTTTTTTTAGGGTGCTTTAGGAGGGCTGAATTAAAAATCTGAAATTAATGTAACTAGAATTACTTCCATCCAAACTAGTGGCATGTTGACAAGGTTCTAGATACTATTGTTGTGAGGTTTAGATACATAATGTTTGGTGATCTGCTATGTTGAGTATATATTAAGCGTATATCAAGCTTATTACTATTCATTAGTAATAACAGCTATCATACTTCTTTATATAGTCCAAGTGTTAGTTGCCCCAGATGATCACCGACCGCTTTTAGAATTTAATTCACTCTTACTACTTACAGTTACTAAACTGCTAGCCAACCTGTTTGTAGGAGGGCATTTGTTCTCCTCAAAATATTTTTAAGTGCCCAAAGGTTTAAGTAATTTGACCATGAAACCGTGATCCAGAATATGTCAAATTTTGAACAAATCATCAGCTTTTTCTGCAGGATTAACAGCACATAGCAGAATACCAAGTAGGGCAAGAAGTTACAAAAGCAGCATCCCAGACCTGACACGCAGCTGCACCACAGATAATCTTAGTATGGGTTGAGGAGGTCAAAAACACCTCAAAAATGTCTTTATAGATTGTGGGGTCAACTGGAGCAGAATGCAGCCCCGTGGGCGGAGCAGCCGCAAACTGCAGATCTTGCCAAGGAACATAAGGGTAGATTAAATGGAGTAGCAATCTGAAAGCTACGTGTTTCCATGTTAGTACAGTTGGAGAGGCAACTGTGTTCCCTGGAAATTCTCCCCTCCCTGGATTATTGAATCCAAAATTGATCGGATTTTATACTGTTGCAATATAACTATGCCCATTTTTCAGCTAAGGAAGTAATCACAGGTACATTTAGGCCCTACATGGTAAGACACAAGATTAAAGTATCTTTTGAATATTGAGAACTTTGAGAACCTTGATAAGTGCTTTCTTTTAACTAGGACATGTTTTAAGGCCACACAGGAAGTTAGATGTGAAGTAAGATGGGAGTGAGTCCAGGGATGGACTCTTTTCTCCACATACTACTGTAGTCTCTGTAGCTGTTTTCTGTTGCTAAGGTCAGGTGAGTGAGATTTCTTGCAGTAAGGGGTTAATGGGTGAGAAGTTGAAACTCTTAGAGAACTGAAGGCAGTTTGCTGGAGAAAGTTAAGTCAGCACTGGAGTAATCAGAAAGCAAATGAAACAGAAACCAGGGCCTCCACAGAAAAAACAAAGCAAAATCCCCACAGGATAATGAAGGAATTGTCAACAACTTCATGTACCTTTGTGATTAACTGTTTATCTGTTGATAGCACAGTTGAGTGTGACTGAGGTTATTTCTTTAAAACAAAAATATAAAAATTTAAAATTAGCTTCCTTTCTCTACTCCTGTATTAATGGAATGGAGTGTTGACATTATCATGAAATTCCTTGCATATTCCCTTAATTGGAGCTGATTTTATTGCTATGTTTGACTGACAGCCAGGAGTGAACATGAAAAAGAAGGACCCTTTCTAGCCTCCACCCCCACCACATACATTGAGCACATCGTCTGGAAATTCCAATCTCTCAAGCTCTCCTGAAAGTGTACGTTGGAAACCAGTGAGAGTGCTGTGTTTATAACCAGTGCCAGCCAATGCCATTCACACCCTCGCTGCCTTCAACCTCCCTCTCTCAAAGAACAACAACCACTTATTTCCCCTCAAAAATTCACAAAGAGCAGAACAGACCGAGGAAGGCAGAGCGGTGTGTCCCGCCCACCATGTCTCTGCCTTCCATTCTACCACTTTAATGTCAAAACTCTTGTCCACATAAGTAAGATTCTGAAAGGATTCTGTACAAAAAAATGACTTGCAAATATGCAAGTTTGAATATTATGCATGTGGCAAATATCAAAGTCCAGAGGCCTTGGAGGTAATGGCATTAATTTGGAATAATACGGGCCAGAGTATTGCTAATACAGGGAGGTGGTTGTCAAGTTTCCAAGAATGAACTTAACAGCTTCACTGTGTCCTTCCCGTCAGAAATCAGCAGAGACATGAGGACGGCAGGGCTCATGCTGCTCAGCACTTTTGTTCACTGTGTTCCTGTTGAGCCCTGTGCACTTACAGGTTGAGAAAAGTCTTGGGGAAGGCACCAGCGCTGCGGTTATATAGCGACAAAGGCAGCCTTTTGTGACTGACCCTCTCTTTATGGAGGAAGACAGCATGAAAGGGATAAGTGATAGTGTTGCAATCTGCATGGTCTTCCAGTACATGCTTCCTGTGGTGTCTCTCAGCTCCATCTGTGAGCTCCCAACAGGCAGTACAGCCTTGCGAGGGAACACTGGAAGAGAGGACTCCCCCACAGATAATGGAGCTCTGCGATTATTCAGCAAAAAAGCCCTGACTCCCCATCCTTGTTTTGAATAGGCTTCAAGATTGATATCAGGAGTATCCCTGGATAGCTTGTGAAGCACCGGAGCCTTGTAAGCTGACTGGATGAGGGAGATGTAATTTGGCCCATCTCAAAGAATATAATTTGTTATTCAGTACAACAACAACAAAAGAGATTAAAGAAGCATTTCGTGGTACCCCTTTGCAAAAAAGCTCTTTGAAGAATAGTCCTGGAAGGGTCTGTTTCTGGACTGTGAACTGTGTGATGCTAGGCATTGAGAGTGTATCATGATACAAAACATTTCATTTTTGCTTATTTATGCTTTCTGTGTTTGAGAAGTTTAATGTCTCTTTCAAGAGGAGCCTTATGCAGTCAGATTTTAAATACTTCATGCAGAACTTCAAAAACACCTATTGCCTTTTATGCTCTCTTTATTTTATGTTTTCAGACAGAAAGCAATGTTTCTAAATGGTACAGGTGGGTTTGACTGTTACCCTTAGAGCACTGCAAGTCTCATGAGTCAAAAGCAAACCGCCAAAGTTTGTGATACTTCCTCTACAGCTCTGCCAGAAAGTCTGGCTTCTCTGCTCTGAACCTCCCTTTGATCACAGATACACAATGAGTCATTTGGGAACACCTGACTGTAGGGGAACAGCAGTCTGGCTGAACAGAAGGTAATTTTCTTGCACACTGCCACAGAGAAAACTGTGAAGGTAAGACTGCACAGGAGGCTATGTAGATTTAAAGATTCCATGAACGGTGCAAAAATTGATAGAGGAGACATGCATCTTCAGCTACTTAAGCACCTGAAGTAACTGGGCTGCCCATCTTCACTGTTATATCTTTCTTGGGTTATCGAAAGAATATCTGAGGAAAAGTAAATGAGATGGATTAAGTTTAGGGGAGATGGTATGATCAGACAGAAATTTTCTATGTTTTCTGGAATGGCAGTTTTCTCTCTCTAGCTATTGAGGCTGCTGCTTACTTAATTTGTCTGATTTATTTAGATTCTAGATTGTGTGCAGAATTTTTCTGAGAAATATTCTAGGGCCACATAGCATGTTCAGCAAAGACAAGTGAATTTTGAAATACTAACACGAAGAAGAGCAACTTTATTTGACTGTGCAATGCTCTGTGGGAGGAGCAGCCCTTGAAAGAACATAGTGAATAGTGCAGGAAAGTAAAAAGGCAATCCGAAACAGAAATTCCTGGGACAATCATAAGCTATAAGTAGCTCGTTTGTTCCTTGGGTTAAATCCTGACCCCATGGAAGTCCGTGGCTAAACTCTTGTTAATTGACAAGGCTGATACACCACCCTACCTGTTTCAGTTTTAAGAAGGCGAATCCTTTTGACATGCATCTTTTAGAGGCAAAGAGGCAAACAGCTACAAAGAACACCAAGGAAAAGGTAAACAGCTACTTTTCATTCAGAAGGCACAAGCTGCCCAAGATCAGATCAAAAAGATTGAGCAGAATCAGGAATGAATGATAAAGTAGCCTCCCTAAACCCTCCTCATACTGAGCAGGGCTTTGTATATAGTGTGGTAAGCTAACAGACTTCCCAGAACAGGTCAAATTGCCCTTAGGATTCTTCTTGCTAAAAGAAAATGCCTGGACGTAATTCTACACGATATCCAAGACCAGCAAGAGATTGTGTGATCCAGGAGAGTTGACACAACTCATTGCTCGTGCAGTAGGTAGACATTCTGTCTACATCATGCATTGTGACATTCATCTCACTTCGGAAATGAAAGGAGAATCCTGCTGAGTAAATTAGAATCAGTGGTAATACAGCTGTTAGCTACAAACATTTGTTTGGCATGAATCAATCTCGACTCTCCTGTAGTTTGCTTTGATGGTCTCTCTAGTATCTTGTTGACTAATGATGAGATCATGGTTTGTTAATCTAAGTGCATAAAGAAAACATTCAGCCAAGCAAAATGCAGACTCTTTTACTGGGATTTATTGCAGTTGTTTATAGACCTTTTGTTTACACAGGCATCCCAACCAATTTGTTGGATATTTATTTGGGTTACTCTACAGAACTGCATGAACACAGACCTGAAGCCTATCTTTAATCTGTCTGCATTTTAATGGGTCCTAGTTTGAACAAAGTGGAAACCAGCCACTTAGGATACATTTCTTGTTGGCTGGGGCTTCAAAAGTTTTATGTGCTATCTGTAATTCTCATCTTGAGAGTATTTAACAATTGGAGAGAATTGTAAGCCACTCTGATTTGGAGGTAACACATTTGTTTTTGAACAGAAGTTAATAGAACTGAACTCGTTAAACTTATGCAACAAGCAAAATACAATTTTTAATCCAGCCAGTGCTTTAAATGCTCATATTTTTAAATGTGTAACTTCTTGCTCTCCATAGTCATCTCTTATGTTAAGCCCAGAACATACTGCACCAAACTATTTCATGTGCACCAGGTACGTAGGGGAACACAGTTTCCGCTCAAATGGAGCACACATAAACAGACATGGCCAGACAGCTCACGCAGTCACAATGGCTGTATTTGCAAAGCCTGTAATGGAATCACAGATCTGACTGGAAATAAAGGCAGATGAAGAGTAAA